GCTGGTCTCCCTCTGTGAGGGTTCCAGCCAAGGAGAACTGGAGATGGGAAAGGCAGGGTGCCTCCACCCGCTGGGTCCTCAGCAGCCTGACGGGGGGGCCACTGCCCCTACGGCGTTCTCACCACACTTGCTGTTTAACCATGAGTGACAAAGGCAAATGCCACACAGCAATTCTAAGCCCATCAGCTGCATGAGACACCAAACCCCGCACACAGACACTGCGGGGGGCACAGCCTGGCTAGGTAGCAGGCGCTGCAGTGCAGAACTGCCCAGATGGCATAAGAGGGGCCAGGGTTTTGTTTGCTTTGCATTTTATTGTGGTAAAAATACTTAACATGAGAGCTACCCTCTTACCACATTTTTAAGTGTATAATACAGTACACATTTTGTTTTAAGGATGGTAATTTTCATGGAATTCAGAGGCCAACCTCTGTATTTTGGTGAAAACTAACAGTTCTTAATCGAACTACTCAGCACTAAAATTTTCCACAAATGCCAGCTCCTCATTACTTCAGATGTTCCAGTGATTGGTAGCAATTAAGAGGAAAATTCCAATCTGAGCTGGCTCCCAGTATGCCCCAAGTACAGGATCGGAAGCTGTGACCACTGTCTGACCCTCCTCATGGCAGCAAAACACGAAACAGCAAACTCAGTTTGTACCAGCAGGGCAACGGGGAATTTCCTGAGGTCAAATCCTCCTTGGATGTGTGAAATATTTAAGCTTAGACGTAAAGAAACTAGATTTAATAACTGTTTCCATTACTTGCCTTCTAGTATGGATTTGGATGTTTCAAAATAGTGGCCGAGCACAGCAGTTCACACCTGTAATCTTAGGGAGGCCAAGGTGGGAGGATTGCTTGAGGCCAGGAGTTCAAGACCAGCCTAGACAACAGTGAGACCCCTGGCTCTACAAAAACCAAGCAGAGAAACAAACAACAAAACTGAAATGAGCTGGGCTTGGTGGTGTGCACCTGTGATCCTAGCTACTTGGGAGGCTGGGGTGCAAGGATTCTTTGAGCCCAGGAATTTGAGATTGCAGTGAGTTACGATCCTGCCACTGTGCTCTGGCCTGGGTAACAGAGCCAGACTCCGTCTCTAAAAAAATAAATATTCAATTAAAAAAAAAAGAAAAGGGGCTGGGTGCAGTGGCTCATGCCTGTAATCCCAGCACTTTGGGAGGCCAAGGCAGGTGGATCACGAGGTCAGGAGTTCAAGAGCAGACTGGTCAAGATGGCGAAACCCTGTCTTTACTAAAGATACAAAAATTAGCCAGGCGAGGTGGCGGGCACCTGTAATCCCAGGTACTCGGGAGGCTGAGGCAGAGAATTGCTTGAATCTGGGAGGTGGAGGTTGCAGTGAGCTGAGATCATGCCACTGCACTCCAGCCTGGGTGACAGAGCGAGACTCCATCTCAAAAAACAAACTCTCTCTCTCTCTCTCTCTATATATATATATATACATGGAAATAGCTACCTAACGGCTTTGCCAACACCAAGCTCACCCAGAAAGTGACAGACATCACTGAACTGGCTCACATAAGTCTCCTATCTCACGGTCCATCCCAGGTGAGGGAGAAAACGAAGCTGGAGCACAAGAGATTTTAATAAATACACGTTTCCTTCCTACAGTCAGAAACTGAGGTCACAGAACAGTGACTATCTTCCCATCCCATCACTTTAAAGACAAAAAGATGAAGAGATCTAAAAGAAGCTGAAAGCTAAGCTAAAGAAGATGAAAGCACCAGCAGAGGAGGAAGCTAAGGAATATTTATAATAAATTGACTTGAGCTTCTGTCTCCAAAAATACAAGGGATTTCAGAAGTCTTAAAGTCTGGCCTCTTACCTGAATAACTGGCACCAAAGGAAAGCACTAAACTGGAAGTTGAGATCCCAATTTTAAATCCAGTTCTCTTGTGCTTCTTTCTTCAACTAAAAATACTGGTTCTAATGTGACCCATGAAATGGCTGGTTCTATAGGTGTAGGATTTGATTTATGTTGCAAAAAACTATTAATTTAAAATGTGTTTGAAATGCAATTAATGATTGTTTCTCAACAAAAATTGCATTAGGTTTTGTGGACATATTTGTTCCATAATATTTTCAACTTTTTTGTTAGAATATGAGACTTTTATTTCAGGACTAAAAGAAGTGAGGAATGCAAACTGCGACGCACCGCGTCCTGCATCCTCTTGAATAATGAGAGGATAAGAAGTGCGTGCTGATGCAATGCTATGGCAACAGAGCCCTGTGATTCCAGCTCCAGGCTGCAGCTGAGTACGTGAGGACTTGTGGCGCCCTTATAAGAAAAAGAACCGGAGTCGCCACTATTCTTAGTAAAGCAACTGCGCTAATTAAGTCACCATATTAAGTGTCCAAAGAAAACACTGACTCAAATGGAATAAAATACACACTAGTCGAAATATGCTTCAGCCATTATAAAGTCGCAAATCTTGTACATAGACGGGCACAGACAGTAAGGCTGGAATACACGTGTATGAGAAAATGCCATGTGTTCATTTAAAAAAAAAAAAATCACAGGTTTTAGAGTTAAACATCTAACTGGTGTAAGAGAAGATACAGAATTGCCATGATTTCTTATCCCATGCTTAGAACAGCCTTTATGGAACTATCCAAACAGAGGATAAGGCTGACTTTTGCCATGTATTTGATTAAAAAATGAGGGGAAGTTCATTTTAGCAAAATAAAAAGGATGAAGTTTAGGTTTTAATGTTGTTTCTCTAAGAACTAAAAATGACCTAGTATCAGTCAAATGCAGCTGGAAGTTCACCGTCCTCCTCTTTGTGGAGACAGCGTGCCCATCCTCCCCTAGAGACCGCAGCAGGGAGGTCCACACAGAAACGTCAAGCAGGCCGGGCGCGGTGGCTCAAGCCTGTAATCCCAGCACTTTGGGAGGCCGAGGCGGGTGGATCACGAGGTCAGGAGATCGAGACCATCCTGGCTAACACGGTGAAACCCCGTCTCCACTAAAAAATATAAAAAACTAGCCGGGCGAGGTGGCGGCGCCTGTAGTCCCAGCTACTCGGGAGGCTGAGGCAGGAGAATGGCGGGAACCCGGGAGGCGGAGCTTGCAGTGAGCTGAGATCCGGCCACTGCACTCCAGCCTGGGTGACAGAGCGAGACTCCGTCTCAAAAAAAAAAAAAAAAGAATCGTCAAGCAGTACGTGGACCTGACATGCTCAGGGCAAATTTGTCTTTTTCTTTCTCACTTCAAAGTTTTTCTAACATTTACATTATTCAAAATCCGAAACAGAAGAAGCTGGACAGAGGGAGGGAGACGGAAGGAAAAGACGAGAGGTTGTGTTCAATCCTCACGTTCAAGGAGAGTGAAAAGCTGCTTCGGCGGCAGGCAGGATGCGTCTAACCGTGCTCAGCTTTTCTCATGGGGCATGTTGTCCCGGAGAAAACACACTGAAACGTGCTTCTCCAGAAGCACCCTTCCTCCGCAGAGACGTGACACTCTGAGAATGCCTCTGGCGGCCTGTGCATCTCTCTACTGTGACTGTCCAATCAAGTCACTAGAATAAAGAACCGGCTTCATGATCTCCTCTGCCCTGCAGGTTTCTGAAATCAGGATGCATTCTTTCTACTAAGGAAATAATTCTTATCGTAATTGCCACGGGATAATTATGATCTAAAATTACTATTGTTGGTGACTGTCAATGATGCATAAAGAAGAATACAGCTTGATTTTCAAAGCCTAACCCTGAAGAAGCAAGACAATTAAAAGCTTGTTTTGACTAGTTAAAATGAACAAACTTGACACAAAAGTCACAAAGGAAAAATTCTAGAGGGAAAATATCATCAACTGGCCTGACTTGGCATTTCTCTAAAACAAGTTACAAGCTCCAAGTGCAGGGGAAAGACCTTTCAAGAACCAGAAGGTCAGGCCAAAATTCATGACTGCAGAGGAACTGTGGGAAGCAGGTGTGGTCTCCCAGACCATTCAAGGCCAGAAAGGAAGAAAGAGGTCATGACTCCCACTGTCTTCAGGGAACATGATGCAGCACGTTCTGCAATCTCATGTAATAGTAACTTCATACCACGTAACATACAAATGATCCAAAAGAGAACAACGTTAACATCTGCAAAATGAACACGATGCAGCACGTTCTGCAATCTCATGTAATAGTAACTTGATACCACGTAACATACAAATGATCCAAAAGAGAACAACGTTAACATCTGCAAAATGAACAGGTAAAATTCCCCACCTCTGGTTCTGTAGATTTCTGGCTTAGGTGGTTGAATTCCAAGGCAGGCAGCGAAGAGGCTCCCACTTCCCAGAGTGCACATGTGCCCCTCAGGCATCTGGGCCAGTATGATCCGACGCACTGTGTGACCTTCATGCTTGTAAGGACAATTGAGTAGAGCTTTCAGTACCAAGAAATATAAACGACTTGCAAAAAAGATATTTAAACAGGCGCAAACAACTTGGATAACATTTAATTTATTTTATTTTAGGCCTTACAGAGACTCAATTTTGAAAATCAAAAATAAATGAAGGCCCTCATTTCAAAAAATGAACTTTGACCAACAGAAAAAATATGTTCACATTACCTAACAATCTGTATTTTCAGAAGGAACCTTTAATTCAGAAATGCATATCTCACAGAAACGTCTTCTCAACATATCATTTCAGAAAAAGCAGGAAAGATGACTTTTTTTGCCTCATTGGCTAAAAATCATCTTCTGTCCAATCCATTACAACTATCTTTTACAGTAGCCTGATTTACGTCTGAATTAGTTAAGAAATCCTGAATGACCCAAACCCAACACTAAGAACACAGAAAGAAGCTCCATGTGTCAAACATACAATTTCCTTCTTTTCTTCAAACACCTGTTCTGCTCATACCATTAAGATCTTTAAAATTCCTGGAATTATCTTCTAAGATCATTGAAACAAGAGAGCCACTATCTCCATTTCATCCTGAGCATAAAGCACTTGTAAATGAGTGTAGATTCTGTGACAAATAAACACGATTATATTTCAAAGGATAATTTATTATTTTCACTACTGGGAGGTAGGTAATCTCAATGTAAGCATTCTTTTTCTCCTTTCTTGAAATCTGTAAACAGCACCCTGTGGTATGCACAAAAGGCTGTCTCAGTAAAATACATTTTTTCATGTGGTTGGTTTTGCTCTTATTCCTGAATAAACTAAGTCTCTCACTTAATCCATCTTTCACTTCAAATACCAATTTGCTTAGCAAACCCTTTTTGTGCATTTCACAGAGGCGAATCTCAGTCCTAGCTCCCTCCCCACCCGGTCAACATACCTTGCATAAACGCAGACATGCATTTAGCCAGCCATGGTGGTGTGCACCTGTAGTCCTAGCTACTCAGCATGCTGAGGTGGCAGGATCACTTGAGCCAGGAGTTCAAGACTGCAAGTGAGCTATGATCATGCCACTGCACTGTAGCCTGGGTGACAGACTGAGACTCTGTCTCAAAAAAATAAATATAAATGTAGACATTCAACGAGACACGGGCCTGCTTCTGCCGAGCACTCGCAGTTCACAGAGGTTATAGGTGAATTAATCCCAACTGTAAGATGTACTGTAAATGAAATGAAATGAGGTCTATTATATATAGCAAACTATAATTTATTGTATATATTCTCAATTATTTAACGTGGCATATTGGTACTATATTCTGCTAGCCTGCTATTAATACTCCCAACTCAACATACTACAGGGGTCCCTGAAGCTTAAAGACTAGGTTAGCAATATGCTGGCAACAGCATCTTTGTAACATTCCTGGTGCCAAGTAATACAACAGAACTTCTCACATCTCCAGAGAATTTTTTACTAGAGAATTTCATATCACTCAAGCAGTACCTCATTGTCTATTAGATAAACACAACATGATTATGAAACTGGATGGCAACAAAACTCAAATGGACTGAACAAAAGATGACTATGCAGGAAAAGCAAATTTCAGTTTCAGGATTATTAGTAATAAGAACCTCCAATTTATCCCCACTGAAAAATATGCAACACGAAAAGCAAAAGGAAATTGTTTTAGAAGAATTTCATATAACACAAGATTTTAACATAGGCAGTCTCCAGTGGTTAAAAAGAAAAAAACTAGGAATGTGTTTAATATCTAAAAAATAGCATTTAAATATGCAAAAGTGTGAATTATTTGATAAATACTTAAAACATGTCAATCATGTTTAGATTTGAAAACGTGGCGTCAGTGTGAAGCAGTGCATTCAGCCCTCTGTGTCAGGAGACAACAGAGCTGCCCGCCAAGACTGCAGACCCCCAGGAAGAAAGATTCCAATCACAGCGCATTCATTTAAAAAGCATTCTAATATAATAATCAGACTCATCAAATGCAAACTTTTTTTCCCCTTTAAACTACTCTTTAAATTTGGCCAAACTAAGTACTTGATACAAAAATGCTGGCAAAGAGCAGGGGTCCCTGCAAACTGTGTGGCAAACTCTGACATCCTCTTGCCTTAGCAGGTAAGTTAAAACAAGGACAATCTAAAAGGAGGCCATTCCCTCATCCAATTAGCAATGGAAGGGTTAGAACTGAAATAATCACTGTTAGAGCATAGGAAACAGACACACACATACTCAAACACACCCTACCACCCCAGCAACGCTCACAGCTGACAATGGCTGAATTTCATTACAAGCAAATGATTTAATTATAGCTTTGTTATTAAAAAAAAAAAAAAAACAATCAGCTGGGCGCAGTGGCTCATGCCTGTAATCCCAGCACTCGGAGAGGCTGAGGTGGGCGAATCACGAGGTCAGGAGATCAAGACTATCCTGGCTAAGACGGTGAAACCTCGTCTCTACTAAAAATACAAAAAATGAGCCGGGCACAGTGGCGGGTGCCTGTGGTCCCAGCTACTCGGGAGGCTGAGGTCAGGAGTTGGAGACTAGCTTGGTCAATATGGTGAAACCACACCTCCACTAAAAATACAAAAATTAGCTGAGTGTGGTGGCACATGCTTGTACGCCCAGATACTTGGAAGGCTGAGGTGGGAGGATCACTTGAACCTGGGAGGCAGAGGATGCAGTAAGCCAAGATCACACCACTGCACTCCAGTCTGGGAGAGAGAGGGAGGCTCCGTCTCAAAAAAAATAAAAAAATAAAAAAATAAAAAATCAAGTCGAATGCTCAAACAAGGATAATTTCCCTTCAATGCAAGATAAAAAGCAGCAGCCACAATTTAAAACTTTACTCCATAATGAAATCAGCATGAATTCTGAAACGAAGACACTGGGAAATTGCACTGGTTTGCAGAGGCAAGGCCCGTGCCTACCCCAAGGAGTTAGCAGTCTCCATGACAACCTGACTCCATTTTTAGTCTCCCAACCTTTGTCTGCTTGAGAACCATGAGCTTGAGTTACTGCTGAAAAACATTTGATTTTAACAATAAATTTAAGGTTTAATGATTGTTCACCTTTCCTCTGAAAGATTAGCTGAAAAGGACACAAATAATTCATGAGAGGTTTATGTTTGAGGCGATCACCACCAATACACACTTCGAAAAATACCATCACCATATATATATTTGCTTAAAAAAATTATGACAAGCTTCAGGTAAAAATAATTTTTAAAGGGTCCATTTTTCATTTACGTACAATCAATACATCGTATTTACATATATATGACTGAATCTTTATTCTATTTTCTTCATATAAGATATTTTAACTGGTAGGTAACTGCTCTATTCTGTTTTTATAGAAAGACTAAATACCTTCTTATTCACAGGCAGTTTTGATGATGCTAGTTTGTCTCCAAATTACGTACTGAATATAGTTAAAACCTTAATGAATAACATAAAAATTAAGATCCAGTATTAGCTTATTTTATGGGTCGCACTGGTTATTCCAGGAGTCAACTGCCTCTAGTGTGCATCAATTACAGCTGCAACAAAACAGAAATCAAGTGTGGTTCTGAAGACCTGGAAAAAGAAGTATGACTTCTACGACGTTCACCACTGCTTAATACTGCTACTGATGGGAAATTCTTACACTGGGTTCATTTCTTTCCTTGTAATAACACTGATTTTTCTAGTGATATTTAACTTTAAAAAGGTATTTTACTTCTTTAACCCTCAGAGAACTTGTATATTTAGACAACTAACCAAAAAAATAATCAGACACATGTATCTTTGCCCACAGTTTCCAAAGGGTTAAAGTGCAGGAATTTTCCACACTGCTATACTTCTATACTGCTGTAAGGCACCTTATTCCACTTTTTTCTTAAAGGAAACTTTTTCTTTGGTTTCTTGTAACTTTTCAGTGAGTCTGTCTTTTGTTTCTTCCATCTTCTCTGTGATAAGCCCCTTTGTCTCCTCCATCCTGTCCTGTAGATACTCCTTGACGGGTGGTGGCGTGGACATGTAGCCATGACTGCGCAGATACTTCACGGTGAAGGATGTTCCTCCCAAAGTCACGGTATACCGAGCAGGTGTTGCAATCTTAAGCAAGAAGCAAACAGAGACAAATCAAAACCTGGTTATTACCATCATCTTAAGCAAAAACAAGTTAAAATTAAAGTTCTTGGTAGTAACCAATCAGAATAAATTGCCTCATTGTTTCACAAAGCTAATGTAGTAATATCCTATATGGTTTTCCCTCCTAACAAGAGACACTTCTTCTGTGAACTCATTTTATGAACGTTTGTCCTCCACACAATCCTGACCCAGATAACAGAATCATAGCACTGACATCCCTAATCGCATGCTAGTAAACTTGGGGAACAGCTCAACCTGGAAATCAGAAACAGGACTCAGTACCACTAAAAATAACAAAGGAACACATGTTTCTATTCCTTAAAACTCCTGCCATCCTGCCAAATGCTTTCTATCTGGAGCTAAACTAGAACTGAATGTCTTCAAATGGTGAGAGGCAGAGCATGAATCCACTCTCTGTTGGATTTAGGTTAGCTTCACTTCCAAATCCCTTTCCTTCTACCTTCTCATTACAATCTACCCTGAGTCTCAAATCCTAGCCAGTAATTTACATGAGGCCAAAAGTAGTAAAATGGCATATCTGCTGCAGATATGCACAGGTTTAACGTTAATCGTAACTTTTAGGACCAATGGTAAAGAGCAGATGACTGGTCAAAGAGAAACATAAAAGTAAAAAGGCTGCATCATATATCTAAGTCAAAAATCAGGCCGGGTGCAGTGGCTCATGACTGTAATCCCAGCACTTTGGGAGGCTGAGGTGGGTGGATCACCTGAGTTCAGGAGTTCAAGACCAGCCTGGTCAAGATGGTGAAACCCAGTCTCTAATAAAAGTACAAAAATTAGCCGGGCATGGTGTCAGGCACCTGTAATCCCAGATATTCGAGAGGCTGAGGCAGGAGAATCGCTTGAACCCGGAGGCGGAGATTGCAGCGAACCGAGATCGCACCATTGCGCTCCAGCCTGGGCAACAAGAGTGAAGCTACCTCTCAAAAAAAAAAAAAAAATTCATAGGTGTTGGCAGGTACAATGGCTCACGCCTAAAATTCCAGCACTTTGGGAGGCTAAGACAGGAGGAGTGCTTGAGTTCAGAAGTTCAAAACTAGTCTAGGCAACATAATGAGACCGTGCCGTCTCTTAAAACAAAAAGAAAAAGAAAAAAGAAAAAGAAAAGAAAAATAATTAGCCGGGAGTAAGTGGCATGCACCTGTAGTTCCAGCTACTTGGGAGGCTGATGCGGGAGGACTGCTCAAGTTTAGGAGTTTGAGGCTGCAGGGAGCTGTGACTGCACCACTACACTCCAGTCTGGAAAACAGGGCAAGACCCTGTCTCAAACAAAACAAAACAAAACGCATAGGTGTGCCGTATAACAAAACTCTGAAAGAGCTGTCTGCTCTATCTCTAATTTCTCTTCTAAACACGTTAAGCAAGCTTTCACCCATACCTCTTCACCAAAACTGCTTTCAAAGTCACAGTGACCTCTACAAAACTAAATCCAGTTGTCAATTTGGAACAAGCCCCTGAACCACTGGAACCATCCAAGACAGCTTTCACTTCTCTTCACTTGGCTCCAGGCCCTCAACTTGCTGGGCTTCCTTCTGGTTCATGGCGGCTTCTCATTTTTGCCAGTTCCTCCCTTTTCACCCACCTCTGAACACGGTGTGACAACAATCGATCCCTGGACCTCTTATTTTCTCTACCTATCTCACTGTCTGGTCTTTAGTGCCGTCTATACATGGATGATTGTTAACTTTAATCTCCAGACTGAACTTGTCCCCTGAATTCCAGTATGTACAACCACCTCCGGAGATTTGCATGTCTAATAAGATCTCAGACTTAATGCAGGTGAGTCACTTAACAGGGACAAGTTCTGAGAAATGTGTCATTAGGTGATTTTGTTGTTGTGTGAAACATCACAGAGTGTACTTACACAAACCTAGATGGTACAGCCCTCTGCACATCAGGCCACAAGGTACAGCCTATTGCTCTTAGGCTGCAAACCTGGACAGCACAGCACTGCGCCGAATACAGCGGGCAATCGTAAGACCACAGTAAGTATCTGTATACCGAAACTATCTGAACATAGAAAAGGCAGAGTAAAAACATGATGTTCATAAAAACATGGGACCTGTGGGACCATCACTGTCTGCAGTCCACGGTTAACCGAAATGTTACTGGGTGGCACATGACTGCATGTTCAAAACTGACCTTCAGATCTTCAACTGTCCTACTTCACACCTGCTCCTCTCAAAGTCTTCCTCGTCTCAGAAAATGGCAATTCTATGCTTCCAGCTGCCCAGGCCAAAAACTTACAAGAAAGCTTCAACCCCTCTTTCTCTTCCATAATTTATATCCAAATCATCAGAAAACCCCAGCAACCACGTCTTTAAAATACATTGAGAATCCAACTACTTCCTGCTACCACCTGGCTTCTGGCCACTTTTGCCTCTCGACTCAAGTACTGTAATCACCTCACCTCACACCAGGTCCCTTGGCTTTTCCCTTGGTCCTGCCATGGTCTGTTTAGAGGAGCCAAAGTGATTTTGATGGAACAGAGGCAAGATGCTTAAAATTGTCCAGTGGCTTTCCCTGTCCTCAGGGTAAAAAGCAAAGTCCCTGTAAGAGCCGACAAGGCTTTCCTGATCTGATGACGTGCCATTGTCTGCCCTGTTCACCGATTCCAGTCACACTGGCTTCCCTGCATCCCTTAAATACTCCCAGGATCCCGCAGCCTCAGAACTTGCCTTTCGAGTTTTCTCCGTTCGGAACGCTTCTCCCTCTTGGAGGAGCAACTATCTCACCTTCTCAGCAAGGTGTGCCGTCTCCCACTGAAAAACAAACACCACAAACACACCCCCATCCCTGGTTTCCTTTCTTAGCACTTACCATCATCTATGTGCACATACTGTGTGTGTGCAGCACTTCTAACTTTATCTTGTCTCCCCAACCCACCATCACTCACTACACTATCTGCTCCACAAGGCAGGTATTTTGCACTGTCTTCTTTGATCCATTTACTCCCAGTACCTAGAATGGTATCTGGCACACAGAAGAGGCTGACTAAAACTCTGGGTGTATTTCAAAGAGATTATGAGGCAGTCAGTGAATACGTCCTGCAGCCAACTGCCGCCAGACCACACATGCCACACTTCATTTGGGGGCTTTGTCTTGATGAAGCAAAAAATCTGTGTCTGTTGTTCTGTCTGAGAAACTACAGACAACACGCAGGAGAATTCCCTCCACACCTCCTGCCTCACAGAGGAAGAGCGAGGGAAGAACCACCACCGGCACTCATCTTCCTACCATGACGCCTACAGCTTCGTTTTCAGTCCCAACTCCACAAACACACGCTGAGCATTTTATTCACCTACAGAACACAATACCAGGGGCAGTGAAAAAACAACAAGAAAGAAGACATGATTCTGAATTCCTGGGAGCTCCTAATCAAATAAAGAAAACAAACACTTAACACCTAGCACAGACTGTGCTATCAACTGTCATGCTATGGGAGTGGGATAAGGAGCAATTAAATTAGGGAAGGTTTACATCAGAATGATAGTTTGACTTACTCAGGTTAAAGTTATACCCACCATAACTAGAAACTTGGTAATTTTTAAATTTAATACACTTTAATGTAGAAAAACTCAACAATTAAATGTTAGCCCTCTCATCAAAATTGTAATAAAAGAGGAAATCTACCAAGATTTCAGAGGATGCTAATGAGGATGACAGAATGAAACAATGCTACTTTTCAGTAATGCTATAAAACCGTAATTCTTAGATATTCTTATACAACAGAAGTAAAATAAAACATCTAGCTTCTCAGTGTTTTCCACCTTCTTAGGTAGAAGTTTCACAGACTCTCAAAAATATTTGTCAATTTAGAAAATGAGATTAATATGGCTAAACTCCACAATTTACAGTGAGTCTTCCCTTCCAAAATAAAGACCCATAGGCATAGAAGCTATCAAGATGACGTTGTCAGGCCAGGTGCAGTGGCTCATGTCTGTAATCCTAGCACTTTGCGAGGCCAAGGGCCGGCAAATCACCTGAGGTCAGAAGTTCGAGAGCAGCCTGACCATCAGGTAGAAACCCCGTCTCTACTAAAAAAATTCGAAATTAGCCAGGCATGGTGGCACACGCCTGTAATCCCAGCTACTCGGGAGGCTAAAGCAAGAGAACTGCTTGAACCCGGGAGGCGGAGGTTGTGGTGAGCTGAGATCGCGCCATTGTACTCCAGCCTGGGCAACAGGAGCAAAACTCTGCCTCAAAAAAAAAAAGATGGGCCGGGTGCGGTGGCTCAAGCCTGTAATCCCAGCACTTTGGGAGGCCGAGACGGGCGGATCACGAGGTCAGGAGATCGAGACCATCCTGGCTAACACGGTGAAACCCCGTCTCTACTAAAAATACAAAAAACTAGCCGGGCGAGGTGGTGGGTGCCTGTAGTCCGAGCTACTCGGGAGGCTGAGGCAGGAGAATGGCGTAAACCCGGGAGGCGGAGCTTGCAGTGAGCTGAGATCCGGCCACTGCACTCCAGCCTGGGCGACAGAGCGAGACTCCGTCTAAAAAAAACAACAACAACAACAACAACAAAAGATGATGTCTGAATCCAGAGAATAGTTATAAAGATTATCAACTTTTAAAATGAAACATATGTTAGGTTAAAATCTAACAAAAAAGGGTTTATAAGACAATTTGGATTAAACCTATTTTACCTGCTAAGAAAAGATCAACTATTAAAAGCAGTAAAATAGGGGACCTCCTCTTTCGGCTTTGGAGGCCCCTCCTCCTGTCTCTGTAGAGGGGAGCTTCTTCCTTCTCCCTTCCTTCTTGCCTATTAAACTCTCTGCTCCTTAAAACCACACACAGAAAACAAAACAGAACAAAAAACAGTAAAATAAATGCTAAATTTTGCTAACAAGTCAGGTGGCATGCAGATCACTGAATAAGAAAAATAAATATAATTAATATCTTAAAATAACTGTCTCCATTTATCAACAGGAGCAAAAATGTCAAACAGACGGCTAGTGCCGTGGAAAATCACGCAAGTCTAACAACTATCTGATCACAGCAAGTTATGGATCATCTACCAATTTTTAAGGCATTTCTTCCTAAAACCACATTTTTACTTCTGCTTTATTTTGTTATCTTGTACTCCCAGCCACTCGGGAGGCGGAGGCAGAAGAATCACTTGAACCCGGGAGGCGGAGGTTGCAGTGAGCTGAGATGGCGTCACTGCACTCCAGCCTGGGCAACAAGAGTGAAACTCCATCTCCAAACAAAAAAAAACTGTTATCTTACATTATTCACCAGACGTATCAGAGACGAAATACAGTGTTTCAAGTTAAAAAATACAATCGGAAGCTAACACGGAGTCTCATGGGGAGATGAGCAGGCCCCTGGTGAGGTCTGAGGAGCAAGGGTTTGTCACGGTACCCACCTTAAACAAGGCATACGCCGTGAGCGCGTTTCCACTCTGCGAGTTCTTCAGGATGCTCACCACACCGTCAGGTAACCCAATGAGCTCCAGAAAAGGAACGACATTCACTCCTCTACCAAAAAAAAAAAAAAAAAGTAACTTTCATATGTACAAACTTTTAAGGATATTTTCAAAAATTATCTGAAAATACCAAAACCACACTATAATTTTACTAAATTTTGCTTAAAAGTTGATTCTACATTATCAAGCACTTTACCTTTACTCTAAGAGAACATCTTACTTGATGTACAAAATGCAACATACACACAAACATCACATCACGTGGTATCTTACCGCCTACAACTCCTATTTGCTTCATGTGGGCATCCTAGTATGTTTAGAAAAAGAGGCAGTTATTAGAATAAAATTAACAGCTTTAAGTAAAGTATGAGAAAAGGATTAGAATCATTTGCCTGGTCTTAGTTTCCTCAACCAAACACCACTTCCTTGGAATGCTCCAACTCACATTTTAAGACCTAAAATTTTTACCTTTAAAATTACATGGGTTTTTTTTTTTTTGGTGTTTTTTTTTTTTTAGACCGAGTCTTGCTCTGTCGCCAGGCTGGAGCGCAGTGGTGCAATCACAGCTCGCTGCAACCTCTGACTCCCAGGTTCAAGCGATTCTCCTGCCTCAGCCTCCTGAGTAGCTGGGATTACAGGCGCATACCAGCACACCCAGCTAATTTTTGTATTTTTAGTAGAGATGGGGTTTCATCACATAGGCCAGGATGGTCTCCACCTCCTGACCTCATGATCCGCCCGCCGCAGCCTCCCAAAGTGCTGGGATTATAGGCGTGAGCCACAGTGCCCAGCCAATTACATGTAATTTTATGTGTAACACTGCATCGTAAAAGCAAGAGACATTTTAACATCACGTTAGTGTGTTATCATGCAAAGAATAAATGATACTATGGGTTTGATGAAAACTTCACTTACTCTAAAAGGATGCTTCTATTAACATTCTTAAGGCAGGTGAAGAAGCAATTAACATATATCACAACAAATTTCTGGAGGCAGGAGAGAAGGCAGAGAAAGTCTTCAACCTGAGCCGTGACTTCATTTCCAGTTTCCTGATTATTAACATTTCTGAGCCGTGACCCCTTCATTTCCAGTTTCCTGATTATTAACAGTCCTGAGCCCTGGCTGCTTCATTTCCAGTTTCCTGATTATTAACAGTCCTGAGCCCGACTTCTTCATTTCCAGTTTCCTGGTTATTAATATTCCTGAGCCTTGGCTTCTTTATTCCAGTTTCATGATTATTAACATTTTGCCACAATGGCTCTTGCTCTCCCTGGACACTGTGATCCTTCACCCCTAAATTAGAACGAAGACATTCACCTACACAAACATCACATTTATAACAGACTCGACAGTCTACAGTTAATATATAATCTAGATGACAGTTTCCTAAATTGTCCCAGTATATCCCTTATGGCTATTTTTCCTGTCTCTCTAGTCTGCTTTTCTCTAGAAGTGCTTCTCAGCATGATACGGTGGAGGAGGGCAGGATGTCTCTCTTGACTCTGAGATTTCTGAAGCATGCAGGCTGGCCGCTCTTCGAAGGACACCTCTCACCTTGGGTTTGTCCGATCGTTTCCTCAAGATGAGATTCACGTTAAGTACTTTCCACAGGAAAACAACAGAGTGGACACTGTCCACCTCAGCACATCACAACAAGGGACACACAAGTCAGTCTGTCCATCCTTAGTGTAGCAGGACGAGCCGCAGACAAAACTCCTCAGACACCGAGTTAAAGGAGGAAGGGCTTTATTCGGCCGGGAGCATCGGCAAGACTCACGTCTCAAGAGCCGAGCTCCGAGTGAGCAGTTCCTGTCCCTCTTAAGGGCTCACAACTCTAAGGGGGTCCGCGTGAGAGGGTCGTGATCGACTGAGCAAGCAGGGGGTACGTGACTGGGGGCTGCATGTATCGGTAATGAGAACAGAACAGAAAAGGACAGGGATTTTCACGGTGCTTTTCTAAACAATGTCTGTAATCTGTAGATCACATAACCAATTAGGTCAGGGGTCGATCTTTAACTACCAGGCCCAGGGTGTGACACCACGCTGTCTGCCTGTGGATTTCATTTCTGCCTTTTAGTTTTTACTTCTTTCTTTGAAGGCAGAAATTGGGCATAAGACAATATGAGGGGTGGTCTCCTCCCTTATTCCTCCCCTTTGAGAACTTCACTCAATAGTGGGCGTTCTCACTTTCGTTCTCACTACCCATGTCTTCTTGCAAGACAGATCGATAGTGATTCATATAGTACACTTGTGCTGAAGCATTCTGGTGAACTAAGGTAGTGATGAAGCTTTTTATCATTTGAAGAAGTACAGGTAGCAAACAAGGGAGCAGTAAGCAGGTTCCTATTACTATTACGACTCCTATTGTAAGAGTTTTAAATCCTCCTAGCGCTGGCAACCATTTTCTAAACACAGCCCCAGGATCAAATCCATGCCACACTTGCACGGGCACATGTGCCAGTTTTGTCATATCTCTAACTATGTCTTCAACTACTTGCCCTTGATCAACTATGTGTAGACCAGCAATTAGTAAGGTTAAATTTCCTACAGACCCCTCCTTTAGCTGCTAGCAAGTAGTCGAGAACCAATCTATTTGGATAGATAGCATTTCTCATCTGAGTTTCTTGCTGGGCCAGAATAGTCAAGGCTCTGCCAGTCTTATTAGTGATTATATCTAAGACAGCTTCTAACCATACGATTCAGCTGACCATGTAAATGGGGGTCTGGTATCCCCACGAGCCATCTTGTGCCCAAGTACCAGGCCCATAATATTGTGTGATTCTCTCAGGGGGCCATTCATCATCTTTCCAATCTCCTATAGCTATGCTTTTCTTCACAGGAAGCATAGACAGGGAAGCCCAGGAGTTCGCCTGCCTTTATGGGCAGTAGGAAGAAAGCTGGTTTAATGGTGCCAATACCACAACTACCTGCCCACTGGTCGGTAATTTGGTGTAAGCTCTATGCTCACACACCCAGTATGAGCCAGTGGGGGCTGTCCAGTCCCGGTGGGACTCCGGGTGGGTCCACACGGTTTGCAACTTTGGGCATTTACTAAATGGATTTTTCTTAGTGTGGTTTGAACTCCACCAGGGGGCTGTTTTTGTAGCACTATCACACAGTTTTTGCCTAAGGCAGCTGAGTCTTCCCACAGGAAGAGTGAAGTCCTTCCCCACTCTTGCTATACAGTATTGTCTAATGATTGAGGCTGTTAGGACCCAGAAGTTATCAGGCTGATTCTTTTGAGCTGAGAATTCATCAGGAACTGGGTCTGTAGGTACTAATTCTTGGGCTTCCCATGGCCACTGATCTCCCATTACAGTTCCTCCACATACATAACATGAAGTGACAATAAGAGACTGGACTACATGCTCAGTTAATTGCAAAAACAAATTTCTTGTTTTTCCTGGAATTTCTGGTACTGGCACATTCAGTTCATCATAGAAGGTTTGAAATACTGGCTCAGGAAAGCGTTTGTAAACTTCTCCTCAAACCATGAGGATCCAGTCCAGCCCCATCCATTCCTAGGGTTACACGCTCCCCTTTTTTCCAGCGAGGATCAAGGGAGTTGGTTATTACTAGTTCTAAGGGGTTACACTGACCACTGGTCCAGGAAGGGCCACTTTTCCCTTTCTGAAGGTGGACAGGATCCTCTTCATTTTTTATCCAAGTAGCCTAAATGACACAAGACCAGTATCCACATTCATTTCCACACAGTCCTAATTCTGACAAACGTACTTATTTTCTGCCATATGGCCTCTTTCCTAATTAAGAGAACCACATCCTATTCCTACCTTGTTACTATTAATGACAGCACAGGCATCAAACTTCAAGGTGACTTATTTGGACATCCCTTTTTCTTTTGTTTTGGCTAACACTTTACTCGTATCATTTATGAGGCCCCACCAGTCCTCAGCCCTTAATCTTATTTCAAAAACTGTGGTCATGGGAGGCTCAGATGGGTCATAACACACATCAGGTTGGTCATTTCCTGGGCTACACACCTTATATAGAACAGCATTATACAAACAAGTTCTTTCTAGAGTCCCAGTACACTTATAATAACCATAAAATAGGACCGTAGCAACCTTTTGTCCTACCTCAGTGACTTGATGTATACACTGGGAATAGTCCTCAGTCTGAGGAAGGTCAGTTGAAGTCCTTACTGGACAAGCCCAAATTTTAAGGAAAATGAATCCTGCGATGAGTTTTCTCACGCTTCGGCCGTGCGTGGACCAGTCAGCTTCCGGGTGTGACTGGAGCGGGGCTTGTCGTCCTCTTCAGAGTCACTGTGCAGGGGTTGGCGAGGCTGCTCCCGCCCACATGCTGCTCACAGTCTACTGATGTTCAAGGACGGTCTCCGAGGTTGGGCCTCTACAATAAACTGAGTCCAACACCTCTACACAGTTATGTTCAACTGGGCTCTGTGATCCCGGGAGCAAGGTGGCAGAGTTTAGGGTGCTGCAAACTTCAATGGTTATGTGGGGATTTTCACATAGCAAGCGTTGGTACTTGGTTCATCTAGCATTTGCTAGCCAATGACGGTCTTTGGTATTCATCAAAGTTACCACAGCATGGGGGACCTTTACATTCAGGTTTTGCCCAAGGGTTAGTTTACCTGCTTCTTGCTGCCAGGGCCCTTAGACACGGGGGCCAACCTTTAGAAACCCCGTCCAGTTGTTTTGAGAGATAGGCCACTAGCCTTGGCCAGGTCTCCACAGTCTGGGTTAAAACTCTAACTGCCATTTTTTCTCTTTCCGACACATACAGTGTAAAGGGTTTTGTCAGGTCAGGTGGCCCCAGGGCTGGGGCCGACATGAGTTTTTCTTTTAATTCATGAAAAGCTCGTTGCTGTTGGTTGTCATAGATGCAGTTTATCCAATTTACATTTTTATTAACTGTCACCCACCAAAATATTGACTCAAATCCTACAGCTATTTGATTTCAAGCTTTAATTTCATCTGGTATTCCCCGTGGGACTCCAATTGTGTCTAAATAGACGTGAGAGTCAAAAGACCCATTAGGGGTTTCTCTCACTTTACAAGGTCTTATTTT